CATATTTATATTTAGTAATTAGTATTTGTATATTTAGTCTTAAATATGGGGAGCTGGTGATATTGGTTAGACAGTGTGCAGAATGGATGGAGAACCAGAAGGTGAAGTTTGAGCCACTCTCCAGACTAAAGAGGACAGTTTGGACCATGGATTTTGTTATGTGAACAGAAGGACTGAAGCAGTGTGAGTGTAAAAGGGTTTTTTTGGTCAGGAAGCAACCATTCTGGGTTTCTAGGCTAGTTTTTGTGCTATTGTTGTTAAGTGCCATGGAGTCCATTCTGACTCATAGCAACCTTCTATTGGGTTTCCAAGGAGCAACTTTATGGTTCAAACCTACCTTGTGATCCAGTGCTTTATTTCACAGCACCACACCAGGACTCTAGGGTAGAGCCAGCTATATTTATGACAGAGGTTTGGAAGCTTCCTTCATAGAGATGCTGTGGGAGTGGAGGTCTGGAACCTTCTCTGACCTGGAACACTGGAGTGCTTCCAGAGAAGTAAGGCAGGTGATCATTCTTGGGAAAGCCCCAGAGGCTTTCTGTTCCTTGCTTCCTCTGCTGCTTGAATCCACTTCCTTGTTACCTGCATCTAATTTGCAGCAGCTGGATGGGAATGGGCTCTAGGCACAGAAGACAGCATGAAAGGGACACCACTAAGGGTGGTCTGAAAAGAGAATCTTGGGGAAAGGAAGGACAAAAGGAGGAAGGGCCAAGATAAAACAAAAGGCAGCTAATTTGCTTTTCTTTGTAGAAACCTCCAGGCAAAATACCCTACCTCAAATAGAACTCAAGTACTGTCCAGGGGCCTGGCTGACCAGGATAGCTGTTAGAACAGAAATGATTTTGTTTCCAGCAATTATTCTTTTCTTTTATTTACTGTGAAGTTTCTTAAATAAGGTATCTGTTTAGAATAGTGACTCTTCTATCCCAACAGACCTCAGGGGAGTTAGGTAGACCCCTTTTCCTCACTGGATGTTGACATAACTTGAAGGAGACTCTGAGTCTGGTTCTTGGATGAGAATTTCTGATCTCCTTCCAGCTGCTCTAAGAGTGCAGATGATTCAGTGGGCATTTCAGATGACGAATTTTGCATGGTTTATATTTATTTGGTTATATCTGCCTAATTTTGTATCCTTTTCAGATTTTGAAGCACTTGGTTTTGAAAATAACGCTGTTATTGGGTTCCGTTGGGTTGGTTCCAACTCAATAGTAATCCTGTATAGGTTTTCTGAGGAGCAGCTGGTGAGTTTGAACTGCTGACCTTGCGGCTCAATCTGGCCTTGCAGTCTAGTGCTGATCCTATGGCACCAGACCAGGACTCTGAAAATAACAGTGGAGGTGGTTTAATGTCTTGGGAACAGCATAAACCAGAAAGTATTTAAATTGCAGCCCAACCTCTGGTAGCTTGGTGGCTGTGGTAAGTTACTTAGCTTCTTGGGACCTCAGACTCTTCAGCAAAGCAGAAAAATAATTCCCATTTTGAAGGGTTTAGATACTAAATGGGGTAATATGAGAAGGGCTTCAAAAAGTTTGTGGAAAAGTGGAATTAAAAAACAACGGAATTTTCATGAAATCTTTGAAGCCCCCTTGTATATAACAAGTGCCTAGTGTCATGTCCACAGCCTGTGGCAGATAGTTGTTGTTGTTGTTAACTGCTGTTGAGTTGATTCCGACCCATAGTGACCCTGTATAGGGTTTCCAAGGAGCAGCTCTTGAGCTTGAACCATAGATTTATTAATTCTCTCTGGAGTTTACTTTCTGATCTCCTTGCTTCATAGTTTATATCATTCACATGCAGATATTATGTAACATTTTTAAGAAAGAAGTTAAATATTATGAAATATAGCTTGATTATTAAACACTAAATTTAATTTTTGTAAATATCACCCCCTCTTTTGGTACATTCTACTCTAGTGAGTGTTGATAGTTGGTCCACCAAGAATGATAAACTATCAACACTCGCTAGAGTAGAATATACTAAAAGAGGGTGATGTATTGCATTAGGCAAATCTGCTGCACAAGACCTTTTTAAAGTGTTGAAGAACAAAGATGTCAGCTTGAGGACTAAGGTGCGCTTACCCAAGCAATGGTATTTTCAGTAACCTCATATGCATGCGAAAGCTGGACAGTGAATAAGGAAGACTGTAGAAGAATTGATGTTTCTGAGTTATGGTGTTGGAGGAGAATCTTAAAGTGCCATGGGCTGCCAAAAGAATCAATAGATCCATTTTGGAAGAAGTGCAGCCAGAGTGTTCCTTGGAGTCCAATATGGCCAAACCTTGTGTCTCATACTTCAGACATATTGTCAGGAGGGACTAGTCGCTGGAGAAGGATATCATGTTTGGTAAGGTGGAAGGTCAGAGAAAAAGAGGAAGACCCCCAACGAGATGGGTTGGCCAAGTGGCAGCATCGATGGACTCAAGTGTGGCAACAGTAGTGAGGTTGGCCCAGGATCAGGCAGTGTTTCGTACTGCTGTGCATAAGTTCGCTAAGAGTTGTTACCAACTTGTACCTAACAACAACAGCAACTCTATCGAACATGACATCTAATTAGGTCTTACTTCATAATTTAAAAAATAATTTTGCATTTCATCTGTGATATAATGGTGGTTCAAAACTATGCTGTGTTGCAGGGGAACTGCTAGATTAGGTTGAATTAATGATGTCATTTTATAATAGTGATTGTATTCATGATAGGCTTGTTGATTTTCTTTTCTTCTTGAGTTTTTCACTTCTTAAAAAATCAGTTATGCTCTTTATTTCATAGTTTCTGGGCACATATTTTCCACATTACATAACACATTTAAGAATCTTTAAAGGTAAGTTTTAACTTTACATTGAAGAGTCAATGAAGGATAATATTAGAGTCCTAATCCAAAATCCACCAATCAAAATACACAAAACTGTACATGGGCACGTGTTTTTCTTGGAAACCCCAGGCAATACTAATTATTTAATGATGTTTGGGGGCGGGGGACCCTAGCTTTTATTTCTTTTATTAGCAAAGCAGAATAGAGGTTCTCAATATTAATGATCTCAGATACTTTTACACTATTAAAAGCAGAACTTCAAAGAGCTTTTGTTGTAGTACTAATGTGAGAGGGCTTCAAAAATTTCATAGAATAAATAGAATGAAAAGATAATGGATTTTTTACACAGACATTTTTGAAGTCCCTTTGAGTATATATTAATATTTTTTACATTTTAGGAAAGTACAGTTGTGGAACATTTCATATATTTGTTAATTCAATTAAAAATAACAATTATCATATTAACATGTATAACACTTTTAAATGAAAATTTAACTATTTGCCCAAACAAAAAAGAAAATTAGTGGAATTGTCTCACATGTCAGAACTGTTGGGTTCTTTTTTCCTGAAGTAGACATATATACAAGTCATGAGCCTCTGGAAAAGGCAAATAATATCTTACTATCATTATAAAGGAGTCCTGGTGTGGCGCTGTGGGTTAATGTGCCAGACTGCAAAGCCGTTTGAACTGCAAGGTTGGTGGTTCAAGCTCACCAGCTGCTCCTTGAAAACCCTACACAGGGTCGCTATGGGTCGGAACTGACTTGATGGCACTTAACAACAACAACATCATTATAAAGGAACTCTGGTAGCATAGTGGTTACAAATTGGGCTGCTAATCTCAAGGTCAGCAGTTTGAAACTATCAGAGGTTCCACAGGAGAAAACTGTGGCTTTCTGCTCCCATGAAGATTTATAGCGTCGGAAACCCTATGCAGGGTTGCTATGGGT